CGCTTCTCGAGTATGCAAGTGCAGCTCCTATCTCTTTGAATGGGGAAACATCAAATTCTCCAAAACTGGTCACCAAGCTTACAATTAAATTTAATATTTGAAATCACCAATGAAATCTGACAACAACTGTATCATAAATGTTGTTTCTTTTGCTAAAATAGCGTTATAAAAAGCTTATTTCTCAGGCTAGATCAGCCAGTGCGCATGCGCAGTCCTAGGCACACGTCTCAGAGCGCTGACTGTTTCTGTAGCAACCGGGACTTCTAACGGCAGCTGCAGTGACGTGCTGACTACCGATTAGGGATTGGCTCTTTTGCTCAGAAGGCGGTGCTTCGTTCAATAGAGCGGCCATATTGAGCATTGCATTTTTCCCCATTCAAAACTATACGAGTGACACGTCTTGGGTATTCTATCCATAGATATGTATAGATGCCCCATTCGACGGCTCCAGACACGTAGATGCGGCCGCCATCTTGAAACGGTCAACTTGACGTCATTCACCATACTGTAGGTTCTCACAGAGCCGTTGAGCCGTTCTGTGCAGGATTGTGGTATCTTTTCGAAGCCTACAATTAGGCAATATTTGACGTGCTGACTACCGATTAGGGATTGGCTCTTTTGCTCAGAAGGCGGTGCTTCGTTCAATAGAGCGGCCATATTGAGCATTGCATTTTTCCCCATTCAAAACTATACGAGTGACACGTCTTGGGTATTCTATCCATAGATATGTATAGATGCCCCATTCGACGGCTCCAGACACGTAGATGCGGCCGCCATCTTGAAACGGTCAACTTGACGTCATTCACCATACTGTAGGTTCTCACAGAGCCGTTGAGCCGTTTCTTTAGATCGCAGCATAATGTGTTGCTATTTAAGCATGCTTCACTTTGTCAGACAGGTTCTATTTAAGTGATTTCTTTATTCAACAGGTCTGGCAGTAATCAGGCCTGGGTGTGGCTAGTGAAATTTAACTCCGCTTTCTAAAATAATGTGGTTAATTACAGTTCTTTCATGATTTAACAGGAGGGGGCAATTAATTTTTCACGTAGGGCCACGTAGGTTTGGACAGCTTTTTTCCCTTAATAAATGAAATCATCATTTAAAAACTGCATTTTGTATTTACTTGCATCATCTTTGTGTAATATTTAAATTTGTTCGATGATCTGAAACATTAAAGTGTGACAAACATGCAAAAAAATAAGATATCAGGAAGGGGGCCAACACTTTTTCACACCACTGTATATATACATATAAATATATATATTAGCATAAATTCTCATTCTTGTAATATGCTTTTCAAAAGATTAGCATGTACACACACACTTTTGAACATGGACTACAAAGAGTATCTCCGTATCCAGAGACATTGAATACATTTAACACAGCCATACCATCAGTGTCCCAATGTAACCATACTTGGGATGGGCATTTCAAGCAAAAATAATATTCGAAAATTGCTGGGTATTATCAAAGTCCCTTTAAGGCAAGTCATGTCACTCGGCAGCCATCTTTGAAACGCTTCTCGAGTATGCAAGTGCAGCTCCTATCTCTTTGAATGGGGAAACATCAAATTCTCCAAAACTGGTCACCAAGCTTGCAATTAAATTTAATATTTGAAATCACCAATGAAATCTGACAACAACTGTATCATAAATGTTGTTTCTTTTGCTAAAATAGCGTTATAAAAAGCTTATTTCTCAGGCTAGATCAGCCAGTGCGCATGCGCAGTCCTAGGCACACGTCTCAGAGCGCTGACTGTTTCTGTAGCAACCGGGACTTCTAACGGCAGCTGCAGTGACGTGCTGACTACCGATTAAGGATTGGCTCTTTTGCTCAGAAGGCGGTGCTTCGTTCAATAGAGCGGCCATATTGAGCATTGCATTTTTCCCCATTCAAAACTATACGAGTGACACGTCTTGGGTATTCTATCCATAGATATGTATAGATGCCCCATTCGACGGCTCCAGACACGTAGATGCGGCCGCCATCTTGAAACGGTCAACTTGACGTCATTCACCATACTGTAGGTTCTCACAGAGCCGTTGAGCCGTTCTGTGCAGGATTGTGGTATCTTTTCGAAGCCTACAATTAGGCAATATTGCGTTCATAATCGAATGCGATTCATCTGTGATTATGAACGCGATATTGCCTAGCTTGTCAGTGAACTACGGCTCTGTGTAGTAAAAAAAAAGTAATCGCATGCGATTAATTACACAGCCCTACATACTATGATTTGGGACATACTAATTCTATTTTCGAATACTATTTAGGATGGATAGTATGCGAATTGGGACACAGCATATGATTCTATCCACCTTATTTTTCAACGCAGGAGTAAGCCGTTTTCTGTCAATGTGCGAGACTTCCGGTTCATTAGCCGCTGTAGGGAAATAACGAAGTGTTCATAATTAAGATAATACATTAAAATAATATGATAAGACACACCAGTTTGAAATATTAAGCCGCAAAACGAGCTGTTTTGTGCAGCTAAAAATAGTTGGAAGTGGATGAAACCGGAAGCCAGACACATTACATTTACAAATGGCTGCGGCCGTTCTTACGGGAAAAATAAGGTGGATAGTCTTTGGTATTATTTGAATATTATTAAAAAATCCACCCCTCCCCCACATTTATAGGCTACACACCCATAAAACGGACAGAGATCATTCACGCTTTCAGTCTGTATGTTAAAAAACTGTTTAATTCATTAGGGAATAGGCTATCTTAACTCAAGCCATATAATGATTGTAATGTGCTGAAACATATTAATATAATATAACTTAATGACGGCACTTATAAATATAAATGTGCATTATTATTCTTTAGTTTGAGTTAAACAAAAAAATTTTGCTTGGTTGGAACAGCAGCTACGCTAATTATGTCTCTATTTGTTTCTCTGTAACTAGGATTTATACAAGCTTCAGTCTGGATCCAGAACACCTGAGAAGAGATGATGCCAACCCCTCAGAGGACCTCAGATGATGCCAACCCTGAAACAACATACAGAACTACCACATTTTGCTATAAATTTGATTGCATCATATAATAATTGCTGTTAATAGTGTTCATCGTCTGTTTGATTAAATCTTTAATTGATTTTCCGTACATTTCTGCCATATGTTTATTAACTGACAGTCACCACTGATAAGCTACCACTAAATATTGTAGAAACTTAATTTTCTGTAAAGTTGCTTTGCAACGATTTGTATCATGAACAGCGCTATACAAATAAACTTGAATTGAACTGAACAGTCCGTCGATTAGCTTACACTGCTCATAAGGCTAGGACATTTCCATTTCAAAAATGAGTATGAACATTAATAGCAATTTAAAAAGAAAATCAAAAGTTTGATTAATTCATCCATGAATCTCACCACTATAATGATGGTCTAAATGCGTTAAAACATTGTGAACAGCCTGAATGACGGCACTTATGTGAACATTAATTTTAACGTCTGTCTTCATAACAATAACCTACACTCTTAAAAATAAATGTGCTTCACGATGCCATAGAAGAACCTTTTTGTCTTAGTGGTTCCATAAAAAACCTTTAACATCTGAAGAACCTTTCTGTTTCACAAAAGGTTCTTTGTGGCGAAAGAAGGTTCTTCAGATTACAAAAACGCAAGAAAGAGATGGTTCTTTAAAGAACCTTTGACTGAATGGTTCTTTGTGGAACCAAAAATGGTTCTTCTATGGCATCGCTTGAAGAACCTTTTGAAGCACCTTTATTTTTAAGAGTGTATCTCATATTTTTATTAGCATGTCCACATGTTCGGGATGAATATGGGAGCGCAATCTGTTCACAATTTTAGTCCGGCCGCAGAGAACACCCAGATAGAAGCACATTCGGGCCGATTTCAGTTTTCTGACTATTTGTGCTACCCTATCAGATTTTGCTACCTCCCATTAAAACAGATGGTAGCATAATTCGATAGCGAAAAGTGCTACCAATCAGATTTTGCTTCCAGCATGATATTAATAAGGTAACATGTACACCTTCCCCAACCCTAAACCTACCCTTACAGTAGGATAAATACAGTGTTGGTAACATAATGTGATAGGTAGAAGATAATGGGCCAGAGCCATGCCGACTCTACAAAACACTTCTGGCTGACAGATGGTGTTCTGACAAATAATGCTATCTATCAGATTATGCTACCCAACACTGTATTTATCCTACTGTAAGGGAAGGTTTAGGGTTGGGGTAGGTGTACATGTTAATAAAGCCTCACACCTTATTAATATAAAGCTAAATCTGATAAGTAGCACTTTCACTATCGAATTATGCTTCCATTTGTTTTAATGGGAGGTAGCAAAATCTGACAGGGTAGCACAAATCGTCAGAACAACGGCTTTTTCTCTATGGGCCAATCTCGGCTGAAAGTAGGTGCGCCAGGTACACACTTGGTGTAGTTGTGTGTATCTACCTTCGATCCGAGCTCGTTTTGTCGTAGGCGGGCCGCTGCTAGAATAAAGGAAATCAGCCGCTGAGAAAAAGATTTGTCGGTTAAATCCTGACACAAATCTGCAGTGCGCGCGTGAGACAATGTGGTGTTCTGTTGTCTTTGACAGCTTTTAGGTGCACTATTGGCAGCGCCACCCTCTGCTTACATGAACGCGTCACCACCACATCAGCACCGAAAACATGGAGAGTAATTGTCTAAAAAAAACAAAAACAAACAAACTCACACAGCCTATTCGATATTCTATTAATAAATCAACTAATCGAATATTCGAAAATCATGACCCATCCCTAAGCCACACGAGTACAAAAAATGGTTTCAGTGTTTGGGATATCAGTTTTCACAGAATCAGGGAACTTACATTTTTGCATAGTTCATGGCACACAACCTACTGTGCTGAAATTAGAATGTGGGGAAAGTGGTGGATGTGACAGACAATGCATTTGCAATGGCAATGCTTTGCAACAGGTCCATGTGTTAATTTGTCTGGAAATTTTACACGCAAATAATACTATATTCTGAGTTTGACCTTACCTGAATTTCACTGGCAATCCGTGGTGGCACTTCAATGCCAAGCTTCTCCAGCTGCCGATCTTTGTATCGCCCATATTGATCATATCCTACATAACCCCCACCTGTAGCTAAAAGAAGAGGAAGGGGTCGTATATAGGCCTGTAGTCCAGGAAAACCTAAGAGAAAAAAAGAAAAAACCATACAACCATAAATGTGAAAATGTATAATAATAATAATAAGCTTTCCATTGATGTATGGTTTGTTGGGATAGGACAATATGTGGCCGAGATACAACTATTTGAAAATCTGGAATCTTGAGGGTGCACAAAAATCTAAATATTGAGAAAATCGTCTTTAAAGTTGTCCAAATGAAATTCTTAGCAATGCATATTACTAATCAAAAATGAAGTTTTAATATATTTACAGTAGGAAATTTACAAAATATCTTCATGGTACATGATCTTTACTTTACAATGTATTTTTGGCTATTGCTACAAATATACCCCAGCAACTTAAGACTGGTTTTGTGGTCCAGGGTCACAAATGTGTCTATTACATGTTTGTGACAGTCAATTTAAGGAAGGTATTTATAGATCAATAGCAAATACACATAAGAAAGTCACTGTTCAAACTGAAGCACACCTGCCAGGTTCAATTAGGTGTAAATAATAAAAAATAAACAATATAAGTGAATTATTGTAACAGGGTATTTATTATTTTTTATATTATTTATTATTATTATCTTTTTTCTATTATTATTGTCAGTAGGAAATGGTTTACATTTCCAAACATTCCTTTTGTCATTCATTGTAATAATCCAGTGAGATTTTTCTGTACACAAAGTGTCTGACAACAGAGATCTGATCTCACTATCATCCAGTCTTGAAGCATCTTGGAGACGTTGCCACGATTCTTCTGGATTTAGTCTGTCTCAGTTTGTTCTGTTTCTTCATGTCAATTCAGACAGACTGGATGATGGCGAGATCAGATCTCTGTTGTCAGACTCCTAGTGCATTCAAAAATCTCACTGGACGATTATAATTAATGGCAAAAGCAATGATTGGAAATGTAAACTGATATTTCCTACTGACACACTACAGCAAAAGATAGAAATAACTAGTGTATATAAATCTACATAAACACTCAGTGATGTAGCGGTGCCACCTAACGGCTATTATGATGAACTGCAGTATTACATTCTCCAATAAAGACTTTCAGGTTGATTCAAGTTTAATTTAAGTTTAGGGACAAACCCTAAACGTTTTGCAAGTTTGTGAAAAATACGAAACTGTGCAGTGACCCATAAAAACGACTGTGGGACAATTTAACAGGGATAAAATATTTAGAAAGTGTGACTGACCTTTTGAAAATAACCTCTGATGACTCCATCCGAGACCGACAGCACGGTGCTGCAGGAAACTGCATACAAGACAATTCACATCATTAGATCTCTGTTGTCAGACTCCTAGTGCATTCAAAAATCTCACTGGACGATTATAATTAATGGCAAAAGCAATGATTGGAAATGTAAACTGATATTTCCTACTGACACACTACAGCAAAAGATAGAAATAACTAGTGTATATAAATCTACATAAACACTCAGTGATGTAGCGGTGCCACCTAACGGCTATTATGATGAACTGCAGTATTACATTCTCCAATAAAGACTTTCAGGTTGATTCAAGTTTAATTTAAGTTTAGGGACAAACCCTAAACGTTTTGCAAGTTTGTGAAAAATACGAAACTGTGCAGTGACCCATAAAACGACTGTGGGACAATTTAACAGGGATAAAATATTTAGAAAGTGTGACTGACCTTTTGAAAATAACCTCTGATGACTCCATCCGAGACCGACAGCACGGTGCTGCAGGAAACTGCATACAAGACAATTCACATCAGTTTCAAATACTGAAGAACTACATAACCAACACGTGCATTTCTAGGTGTCTCCATTTTGAAATTGAAAATTTGACAAAGAATGTCGCTATTTGCAGTAATGAATCATTACTAAAAGAAATAAATGAATTAATCTCATCTTGAAATTCGTTAAGTTCGCTAATGCAGACATTTATGTAGCAGTCACAACGTTTTTACTATTATTATAGTATAGTATATATAGTAACCCAGTTACTATTATTATAGTAACTGGGCCTCATAGTAATGTTAAAAGACAAGAAATCATATGGGCCAGCTTATGTAATATTTAATGTGTTTCATGTAAAAGAAAACAAAATATCATCACATAAATGATATTTATTACTACGATATATAGTGAACTTTTCATATCAGCAGACAATTCATAGAAAATATCCCCACAAAATTACGATACTGAAGAACTACATAACCAACACGTGCATTTCTAGGTGTCTCCATTTTGAAATTGAAAATTTGACAAAGAATGTCGCTATTTGCAGTAATGAATCATTACTAAAAGAAATAAATGAATTAATCTCATCTTGAAATTCGTTAAGTTCGCTAATGCAGACATTTATGTAGCAGTCACAACGTTTTTACTATTATTATAGTATAGTATATATAGTAACCCAGTTACTATTATTATAGTAACTGGGCCTCATAGTAATGTTAAAAGACAAGAAATCATATGGGCCAGCTTATGTAATATTTAATGTGTTTCATGTAAAAGAAAACAAAATATCATCACATCAATGATATTTATTACTACGATATATAGTGAACTTTTCATATCAGCAGACAATTCACAGAAAATATCCCCACAAAAGTACGGCATCACCAAGATTTTTGGTGGTGTAAACTATTTATTCTGAAGCAATATTTTCATCAGTGTTCTATCAGCTTAAATCTGCATATTTTTATTTACCTTTACAAAGGCCTATTTTTTTGCCTTTTTAAATGTATGCATCATCTTTTATGACAAATTATTACAATTTATCAACAAATTAAATATAAGCCATAGGGCTGTTACCAGTCAGATTAAATCATTTACACTGCAAAATTACAACTGCAATAAATAATGTTATATGTTACATTTATGCAGTGGTGGACAGTTACGAAGTAGTTTTACTTCGTTACTGTACTCAGGTGTGTCATGCACTCATTATTTTTGAGGGGGCACGAGTTGGGGGGGGGAGTCGTCATGTGACACACAGCAGCCACAACAGTACGTGTTTTATTTATTTTTTCCTGTTTATTCGAAACATTCCCAAACGCATGAACTATATCATGAAATATCTTGATTCTCACATTTATAGATATTGATCGAGGGTCAAAGTTACCTAATAATGTAGTCTATAAACTATGCATAAAAACCTGTCTGTTTACGTAATTAACAGATATGAGTGTCATGCCATAACATCTTTTTAATACGACTGACTTTATATTTAATGTGAATTTAACATTGAAAGTTAATGTGAACAGGCGACTTACAATAACACTTTTATTGTACAGAAGGAGAGCAAAGAACATTTACATTATCAAAGAACATTTCCACTGACAGTCTAGGGGGCAATCTGATTAGCCCCGCAGCTAATTATCAGGCAGCTGTTAGAGCAGAGTTGGTGCGATCGAGTTCAAGAAAAAGTAAGTAACGTAAAAAATAAAATGTACCGGTGGCTTTTTAAGATTAATACCAGTGAAAGTAAAACGGGTGAACCGTCTGACAAAAAAAAAAGGAAGAGGAGTGCCCGTCTGAAGCATTATGACTTCAAACTGACCACGAACCCTCCACGTCAACGGGGATCTCCACACAGAGAGGATTAACGTCAGTGTTGCCAGACGTACGATAATTATCGTATTTGTACGATAATTTTGACCTCTGTACGATCAATAATGAAAAAAATCCCATAATGTACGATAATTTCAGAAAGGGTTTTTTCCAAAGTCAACCTCATCCAAACAAAGCCATGAAATCGGCTCATTACAGATGCTCTAAATGGGTTGGTGCACACCTCAGGACCCTCAACATCTGGCAACACGCAGGATTCTGATGACAGCAACTCAGGTGGAGTTTGGACCTTCCCACAAGGTACGCCTATGGCCCTATGACTTCCGCGATGCAGAAAACACGGATGGAATTGTGGAATCCAGTCAATGGAATTTACTGTATAATGCGGAATGTCACGGAATTTGTCAAAGTTTGGATGAATTAATCCAAGGAAGGTCATTACACTTAAATCGTGATATGGACTAGTATCTGTAAATATTAAGCCGCAAAAAGGCTATTTAAATATAAATCCTGCATGTTCTGTGTCTGTCTGAATCATAGTCTATGGTCTGAATGAATGTCACGCGGTTTTGTTTACTACACACATACTGAAGCTAAATAGGTCATAAATACATGAACAACATCCCCAGAACTGCTCTGAGAGTAAAAAATATATAGTTTCTGCCAGAAATGTATTACTATTGTTCAGTAGAATGTACGTACAACTACTACTAAAATTATTAAGGAATAATCACAATATTTTTTTCCATGTTTTAATTTTAATTGTAAATCCTCTGGATACCTACTTAACAGGGTGTTGCTACTAAGGGTCCATAAGGCTAATTTGTTTAATTTTCATTAATTAAAAGATAAATTAAATTAATGTGTTATGCCTTACCAGATAACCAGAAAAATTTAAATACACAACGCAGAATTTCTAAAGAAAAAAACATTTCATAAGGCTATAAATAAAAGTAGTTTTTATGCATAATGGGTTGGTGCACACCTCAGGACCCTCAACATCTGGTAACAGGCAGGATTCTGCTGACAGCAACTCAGGTGGAGTTTGGACCTTCCCACAAGGTACGCCTATGGCCCTATGACTTCCGCGATGCAGAAAACACGGATGGAATTGTGGAATCCAGTCAATGGAATTTACTGTATAATGCGGAATGTCACGGAATTTGTCAAAGTTTGGATGAATTAATCCAAGGAAGGTCATTACACTTAAATCGTGATATGGACTAGTATCTGTAAATATTAAGCCGCAAAAAGGCTATTTAAATATAAATCCTGCATGTTCTGTGTCTGTCTGAATCTTAGTCTATGGTTTGAATGAATGTCACGCGGTTTTGTTTACTACACACATACTGAAGCTAAATAGGTCATAAATACATGAACAACATCCCCAGAACTGCTCTGAGAGTAAAAAATATATCGTTTCTGCCAGAAATGTATTACTATTGTTCAGTAGAATGTACGTACAACTACTACTAAAATTATTAAGGAATAATCACAATATTTTTTTCCATGTTTTAATTTTAATTGTAAATCCTCTGGATACCTACTTAACAGGGTGTTGCTACTAAGGGTCCATAAGGCTATAAATAAAAGTAGTTTTTATGCATTCAAATAATTAGACATATTAAAACACAGAATTTAGTAACAATAAACAAGGTGAAAAAACAGAATATTTCATAAGACCCTAAACGTAATTTTTGATAAACTTTTTTAATAGATTTGATGTTGAATTGTATACGTTTCATTATTTAATTAGCTGTGCTTTCGATTAATAAAATTTAATTTAACCAATTTTAATTAAAAAAATTGAAATGGAAAAAAACTGAATCCAAATTTTTTTTAATTTGGAATGAAAAAAATAAATGGAATTTTGGGAAAAATAAAACATTCTTTTTAATAGATTTGATGTTGAATTGTATACGTTTCATTATTTAATTAGATGTGCTTTCGATTAATAAAATTTAATTTAACCAATTTTAATTAAAAAAATTGAAATGGAAAAAAACTGAATCCAAATTTTTTTTAATTTGGAATGAAAAAAATAAATGGAATTTTGGGACAAAAAAAAAAATCATAGGGCCCTAGCATAATTATTTATTTATTGTGGTAATTTGAAGGTTGTGTCAAAAAGTTGTTGTTTTAGTCTAGTAGATAAATAGCTGTATTCTGTACGTTTTTACTCGTGTATGATCATTTTCTTCCAAATACGATAATTTTGAGCTTCTGATACGATACTTGGACATTTCCAATCTGGCAACACTGATTAACGTTAACTGCAAAAACCAAAGGCCTGTGTGCATCAAAGCGACGGAAGTATGATGAACACTAACAGTACATAAAATACGGATTCACGTGCATCACAATTAATAACGAACCACGTCCACAGTGTGTTGTATGTTCAGAGGTGCTTGCAAACGACAGTTTGAAACCTGTGAAACTGATTCGTCACTTACAAACCAAACATCCGATGTTAAAAGATAAACCGGTTGACTTTTTTTCGCTGTAAAGAATTAGCATTCATAGGTCAAAAACAACCTGTTATAGTTGTTTTCTTTTTAATGAAACTTTTAAATCGGTTCACAAATCGCACCAAATGATTCATTCACGAATTGGAATGATCCTTGCAGCTGTTCTCGAGTCGACAACTCACTGATTCCAATGATCCGTTTAGTGCGAGTCTTCAGTGAACTGAATTCACAAGTAAGAACCGGGAGATCTTGTGAGCGCGCACGCGTCTGATGCTGTTAAAAGTAAGTTAATGTCGAAATTTAGTATTAATTATAGTAACTGAAAATCATATTTAGGTCAAAGCTGTCAGTTGTTTGTGAACTAAATCTGCTGTAAACTAAATCTGTTTAAGCCCACTGAAATGCTTGAATGCAGACACATCAACATAAGAGTCTCTATGTTTTAGGTCAAATTTGTTTTTAAATAACACGGATTAAATAAAATAACCCATGCACGTTCATCTTCCTCGCTGCTGTAAAGTTAGCAGTTTTACTAAAATGCTATGCATTTAGCCCTATGTGACGTCTGTTTTTATATTGTTTGTCAGCACACGTAGCCTAAGTTACTATGCATCTGGATCAACTAGCTGAGTAGACTAATATAAATGTTTATTCATAACCATGCTGAAAATAAGTCAATAATGTTAGCTGATGCTAACTGTCTAGCTAACGAGCTTGCTGGTGCTAAATTGAGGTAATTTTTTTTAAATAAAGCGCAAGTATTTTTATTCAACCACCTAGATAGATTACATCTGAGGGAAACAGAAAGGATGTGATGTTCAGAACATGGTAAGGTAACTACAGTATTTATCACAGTGGGAAGTGATGCCCTCTGGGGGCATTTGGCCAGGGGTGTTTTTACACCACAGACAAGGTTTGAGAAGAAAAAAATCATTACGAAAATCTAAATTATTTTCTTTATTATATTAATTATTTCCTTACTGGTTATTTTGGGAAAATCCCAGGTATTTTGAGCAGTAGGATTATAAAAATATATATGTTAATATAAAATTAAATGATAAAAGTAGCCTATATAAAACTGCAAAATAAACATTCATCTATCGGTACTTTTTACTTAAGTACATAAAAATTCAAGTACTTTTAAACTTTCACTCCAAAAACTGAGTACTTTTACTGGAGTAATATTTTAATATACGGATCTGTACTTTCACTCAAGTACTTGATTTGTGTACTTTGTCCACCACTGCATTTATGAATATACAAATAAGAAATGTTGGGGGGAATGCACACGTTTTAACATACTAAACCACCAGTGGGTGGCGGTAAGTCACTTAATGAGTGAGTCATTGAGTCATTCATTCAACAGATTTGTTCAAAACGCTGAATCATTCAGTAACAAAACATCGCCCAGTGAGTTGAATTACTGAAATAAATGAACTTTTCCACGACATTCTAATTTATTGAGATGCACCTGTATTTTCGTTGGTGAAATAGAACAAAACAGTAAATACTGTGTCTAAAATGTAAGTAGCTTAGTAACTATTTGACTACTTGTTTATTTAACTGAAGTCAACGTAACATTTGCAATCGTGAGAACATTCAGCAAAATAGCCCCCTTTTCATGGTATGTTACTTAACTATTTCATGAAAAAAAACTGAACATTTTGAATTTTTACCTCAGTGTGTTTCATCGGAGTTTCTTTATGTGTGCGGTCAAGCTCATTTGTTTTGAAGTCTCTCGCAAAGAGGCAGACTGCGCGATCTTAATACCAGAAATCCATGCTGTTTAACACAATGTAATAAAATCAGAAGAATCATTCTCGCGTTTTGATGCTTCGCTGGTTATTTTTTGTCACTTAAGTTTTCATTTTAGGTTATTTGTCCGGTCGGGCAAGTAAAAAAAACAAACATTTTAAACGAGCTAGAAGGCTGGTCAGCTGTAGCTCTAACTATATTGTTATTATTGAGAATATATATAAATAAAGAAGGCAGTTCAACCCTGTATTCTGCTGCTGCGATTCTGCCTGATGACGCAGTAACTACCGCGGGGGAAGAAAACAAATCTGCGGTCTGTCCAGTGATGGTTAACACTCATTATATCTGTCAGACTGAAGATGTTTTAGCGGTAATGTGCCCAGAAATATTGAAGACCCATCGAATCTTAAAGACATTGTAAGACCTTTTAAGACCTTTTATTAGGAAAACGTAATTTAAGTTTTTTAAAAGAGTTTTTAAGGACCCGCGGGCACCCTGTCAATACTTGAGCTGACGCAACTCTGTAAGAGCAGTTATACGGTTTTCACTCCATAATATTTCTGTAACTAGGCTCCGAGATCAACTAACGTTAGGTCTCAGGATCCGTCACTTTATCCTGTCTTGACGGGTTCGCCGGGATAATGAAGCGTGTAGTTGTTAGTTGTTAGCAATAGCCTCCGAAGGTCTACAGTAATTTAGATTCATTCACAAAAACGCAAAATAACATGATACAATTACCTGCTCTTTCCCGTCCCCGACAGGTGGATAATAAACTCTCTGCGTGCGAGTGCTGCCATGATGCTTGAATGCAGGGTTGCCAGGTTTTCACAAGAAAACCCGCCCTATCGCTACTCAAAACTAGCCCAATCGCGTTCCGGTGGGTAAAATACGTTTTTTGGTGGGGTTCCCCTGCTTAAATAAGCATTCCAGGTGATAAATATAATGTTATTGGAGTCGCTTCAACCCGCGGCAACAGTGTTTAAAGTAGCCCAATTCCGCGGGAAAACCGCGGACTTGGCAACACTGGTATGCGCTTACAGTTTCCCCGTGTTCTCCTCCTGCTTCACACCTTCACACGCACTGATGCCATCTACCGGAATGGAGGATTCATTGCCACAGCACTTGACACATAGCACTAGCTTTACAATAAATAGAAACAAATTGAACTTACAATTAATAAAATGTGAACCCTGGACAACAAAACCAGTCATAAGGGCCAGTTTTTTTAAATTGACATGTATACATTATATGAAAGCTCAATGAATAAGCTTTCTATTGATGTATGGTTTGTTAGGATAGGACAATATTTGGAGGAGATGCAGCTATTTGAAAATCTGGAATCTGAGGGTGCAAAAAAAAAAAAAAAATTCAGATTATTAAGAAAATCTCCTTTAAAGTTGTCCTAATCAAGTCCATAGCAATGCATATTACTATTCAAAAATTACGTTTTGATATATTTACGGTAGGAAATTCACAAAATATCTTCATGGAACATGATCTTTACTTAATATCCTAATGATTTTCGGCATTAAAGAAGAAACTATAATTTTGACCCATACAATGTATTTTTGACTATTGCTATAAATATACCGAAAGCGACTTAAGACTGGTTTTGTGGTCCAGGGTCACAAATAGAAAATAAACAAATATCCTATTTAAAACAAAGCATAAAAGAAAAAATATATATTTTGCTGTCATCATGTTACATATCCAAAAACTATAGTACCAAGTACAAAGATAAATTGTATTGTTGAATTGCGTTACAGGTTCAGGAACATCAACATGGCGGAACAAAGAAATAAGATAAAGGTGGGGGGAAAGGAAAATGTATTTTGTTTGTTACAAAGTTTTTATATTTGTTTCATTATTTATTTTAATTGATTTGACATTCATTTTTATTATTCGTCATTAAAAAAAGATCAATTACTGTGATTTCAGTAAACCACCCAAGCATGAGTCTTACTTAACACTATTTTATTCATAAAATATATATCAAATCACATTGACAGCAATCAAGCAAAACTTAGTGTTGGTCTGTTGGTGAGCTCAAAGAGAAGCACAACAGTAGCAGTATCTGTAACACTGTATGTGTGATACGGAAATAAAAGATCAATACAAATGAAAATATTTCCATCTAAAAAAAAATTGATCAAAGAGCTGGTTTCACTGCATAACTAAGTAAACACACAATAGCCTTTTTTAAATGTGCTCTTCTGAGTACAGTTCTAACACTTCGAAGTGATTCAAAGAGACAATACATGTCTGTAGGTTGAGTTATAAGCACATTTCTATCCCACAGACATAACTGGCACAGAGATGCTCGTCTGGCAAAGGTTTATTCTTTGGGGGTCAAGTGCAGATAATGGACTTTCAAAGCCTTAGGTAAAAGGTCAAAGGCTACATTATAATTGATTGTAAAAGTTTCCCATTAAACAAAACAAAGCAATAAAAATGTCAATAATCACATCAAAACAAAATGTAACCTTGGTTTCATCCTCAACAAATGAGAATAAAGTTGTGGCAATATATTGCACAATGGAATGATAAAACTAAAATATGTCTAATCTGGTCAGCATATCACTTTATTAGCTGCATATAACACCCAATAAATGTCAGATCAGAAAAGTAGAAAGTGGGTCTCACCAAGCCAGCAAAAGAGAAGCATGGATTCACGGCAAACATGTATTACATATCACAGCTCCGTTTCGGATAAGTAACTATAATCCAAAAGTTTGTGATGAATAAAAGAAATTTCACATCCAACAAAAGAAAAGTGGTTTTTCTCCCATTTTTCTCAAACACAACCCAATGGCTCGTCTATCCCGTGTTCGAGGTCTCAGAATGTAGTCTTGGCTATATAAATTAAATAACTTGAGGGACTTTTTATAAAACTGAGTTTCTGTCATTCTTTACTCACCCTCATCTCATTCCAAACCTGCATGGCTTCATTTCTTCTGTGGAACACAAAAGAAGATATTTTGAAGTATGTTGCAACTGTTTTTGTCCAAATAACAGGGTTCAGAACAATGCTGGGTTCCGTTTACTTTCATTGTATGGACATTTTTATCTTTTTGCATTCTGAAGAAGAAAGTCATACAGGTTTGGAATGACATGAAGAGTGAATAAATATATCACATCGTAAGAATATAGTGATCAAACACCGCACTGTACCTTAAAGGATTTATTTAAAAGAAAAGAAAAACTTTAAATAGTTTTTCGTAGTCTTGTTTTTGGCCGCCTTAGTATTTTTATTCATAAAGCTGTAAATACATATACTAGTCCTGATGGAAAAAATGGAACTGTAATGATAAAATCTAAGCTGCCAATTTCACAGGTCATTAGTAGTCAAGGATGAGCACCTCCTTGCTTCAGAGACCTTGAAAGGCTTAAACCAATGGATCAGTAATTATTTTTCCCACACTCCTTTTTTCATCAGAAAATGACAGATAGGAACGTGTTAGTTAGCAATGCGTTTCAAATGGAAGAAAAACACAACTAGGTTGCAGCAGTCACATTGTGAGGAGTCAGAAAGTGCTCAGGTGAAGGTTTACTATAATGTGCTTATATTATTTGCGCACACACATACAGAGCTCAAATGTCTTTCGTGTCAGTCCGCTTCACACGCTTTAAGTCTCAACTGTAAATGCTACATGAAAATGTTTTTTTCACTCTATTGCTAAACGTTCGGTAAACAATGGCGTGTGAAGCGCAAATTCTTTCCTTGATTAGGCAAAAAGATTAAAAACGAAATTTTTGGTAACTGATCAATTGTTCACAAGAACTAAGAATAGATTTGTGAAAAGCAGAGCTTAAACCTCCAGGCCTTGGCGAGAAAAGTAGTCTTCCAGTTCTGTGAGCTTCTCGATTAGCAATACATCAAGGTCAACGTCGTCCTGTCTTCCCCTACGAGCCCTTCCTCGTGGCCCCTTCACTCGCAGTGGACCCAGGTTAGTTTTAGCCTTGCGTTTCCGAGGCAGTGTGAAATCTGGGAAGTCTAGAACTCGCTTTCGTTTCTGATGACCGATGCATACCAAAGAGCCGTTCTTCTCTTTCGGTTCTTCGAATATCGTCTCCAGGCTTCTGTGTGAATGAAAGGCAGAAACAGCAGAATGATTTCCAGAATAACACGATTATAAATAAAAGTTGCAAAAACAAACCTGTTAGGGGTTGGAGACTTGTAATTCTTGTTGGTATAAATCTCCTCCAAACTGAATTCCTTTTTCTTCAGCCTTATTGGATGCAAAACAGAATATTTATGATAATCCATGTTTTAACCAATGTTGTAAGTATCACAATTTTAAGCACTTTTAATTTAGCCATTAAGTTTCCTAAAGACCTGTTTTGCATTGGCTTCTTGTGTTATGAAAAATATGGTTCCTCTGAATTAAAAAAATATATATCAAAGGAGTCATGAACTGCCTTTGTTTTTTTATTTTGAAATTGTGCTGTCAATAGATTCAAAAAATTTAACTAATTAATCGCACATTTTAATTAATTGCGAATAATCCCACAACATTAAAGTTTTTGAATATACTTTTAAATTGGAATAATTTCGCATTCAATCTTCAAATTAATGTACAAACAACATAAAGACAGTACATTTTTAATATTTGTTTAATGGCATCTTTTTTATGACTGAAGGCCAGTATCGCTGATACCAATTAATACTGATTGTTTTCCCTATAAAAAAATGTCCCCCCCAATATTTAACCATTGATTATAGCCATTCAATGCATATACATTATAATTAAGAGCTATCAATTTGAACATTTATTAGACTTTAAAAATAACTTCTAATTTAAGTGAACTTAAAACAATCTTAACATAAACCCATTATAATAAATGTCATATTTAGCTACCTGTGCCCCGCAGCAGAAATATACAGAAATTGAATAATGTTATCAAACACTAAATACAGATGAATGCTTAAAGCTATAAATGTTATTGAATTCCTCTTTTTTCTTTGATTAACAGCCATCACAGCAGCGGGGTTATTATGTTGTTTTGGCTGTTATTTCTTTAAGAGCTGCCGCTGCTCAATGTGATGAGGATCTGACACGCATCGTATTTTCTCTCAACTCTCTTTATCTTTTCTGACCCACTTCAGGTCTTAAAGTCTCTACTAATGAGCTGACGAGTTGAATCGAGTGTGTTAGATGCAGAGGCAGACAGTAACTAAGTACATTTACTTAAGTACACTTTTTGAGTATCGGTACTTTACTTGAGTATTAATTTTTCTGGGAACTTATGACTTTATTTGAAAGACAAATATTGTACTTTTCACTTCACTACATTTCTATCAAGGTCCTCGAAGTAGAAAGTCGTTACTATGTAGCAGCTTTGAAAGTCAGTGGGTGATTGCTTTCTTCTCTAAAACGTTTCTTTTTCTTTTTTTTCAGACAGTTTATCAGTAATCACTCTTGTAGGGCTACATGAAGTGATTTCCCAGCATTTTCTGAACACTGACCAGCTGCAAATGTGATATTTATTTATAACAATTCAATAATAAGAAGTTAATATTGTGGTATATATTAGACACAATATTGTCTGATTTTGCTAAATTGTGTACATGAAAATATTACCTATAAAGCCACAGAAGAACTGTTGTGCATCTCCTAATAAAACAAGTACCACGAGAGCGATTAGACAGATTTTTTAAAATTTTTGTTTTGGTGTCATATAAGCCTTGCTGTTTTGCTTTTTTGTTAAAGCGGTGTTGCTGTTGTAAAGTTATACAGCTACAGTTGTGTTGCTGGGTTTTAAAGCAGGTTTGATTTTGTTTCTTCCTTATTACTCTGTATTTACA